CCTCCCCAGATTATCTCCACCCTATGCGCACGGCAAGCCCTTCTGTGAAGGGCCAGCGTTGTCGACTGCCACCAAAGGTACTTCCATCATTAATTTTTACCCATGGCTAATACTTAGCATTACGCATGTTTGCCACAGAAGTTCATTGACATTTAACCGGTTCGTTCCCTTTCCTACCAGCCGAGAATCATCTCGAACCACCACGCATACAACACCCAACACCATTGGTTGCCAATCGCATCCAGATAGACCGTTCGTTCTTTCCGTCACCGGTTACAAATGTAAAGAACCCGAGATTCAGGAGAGCTATCCCAGACTCACACACTGGCAGGCTACATGTTTCGGTTATCGGGTATCTAGACCAACACCGCTTCTGAACGTTGTGGAGTTTCAGTGGACTGCAGCCTGGGTAACTTCGGTAAGTACTGTTACCTGATTTGTCCCAGCACAGTTGCGCACATCGTGATCACCACGCGTTGGCTGTGTTAGGATTGTATATAACCACTGACGAAAGCAGCTGCCTACTCCATACTCCTTTCCCTCTTGTTTACGATTTTCCCTTCTCATCTTCTTCGCGACCTATCTCCCTCTCCATTCTCTTACGACCCAGCCACCGTTACGACCATCATCATGTTCACTCTTGCACGCCCTGTCCTCTCTGTCTTCTTCTTCGTGTTGTCTGTGATTTCGTTGGTCTCGGCTCTGCCCATTTCACCAGTCGCGCGTGACGTTTGGACACCACCTATCACTTCCCCTGATTCTCACACTGTGTGGACCGTTGGTGGTACTTACACTGTCACCTGGAATGCCACTGCACCGCCTTCCGAAGTTACGAATCCTCAAGGGAAGATTTACCTGCGCCAAGGAAATGCTACTCAAGCAAATCCCATTGCACAAGGTTTCTCCTTGAGTTCTGGGCAAGTCAATGTCACCGTCCCCGAAGACACGCAACCCGGCTATGACTGGATTGTTGTTTGTAAGTCACTCTGACGTGGACACTGGAGTGTTTTGGGACGATGAATGACCCCTTTCAAATTTGCAGTGTTCGGTGACTCGGGAAATTGGAGCCCTGCTTTCACCATCGTTGCGCCATCCTCATAAAGTTCCCCTCTGTGGACTCCGCTTTCCCAACCCAAACACGCGTGGCAGCATAATAACAATACAACGAGTTTAATGATACACAATAACTCTGCGTAGAAACCCCTCGGGTTGCTTTGACGGACTTGCATGGACTACCTCATCTGGACTTCTTGTTTCTTTCAACATCGGACATCATTGGATATTACATTTTGGACATTTTGGATGACTGTTCCATTGGCCTCATTGGCAATAGCATTTCGCTCATCTTTTGTACGCTTGACTCGTAGACGTTATTGGTACTACGTACTGTACTTAGCAGGGGACGGAACGTTTTACGAAGGGAAGGACCACGGCAATCATTAATGAGCTCATCTTCCCGTCAACTAAGACGAATACCGCAAAGCCCGTCCCAAGTAGCAGTACTGCTTGACCGAAATAGGTAACCGCTCGCACTCGTCCGTAGTTTGGCACCAGTGCATGCTGCATGCGTGGTCGCACAACCACTGGCAGTTCGTCGGAGAAGGTGGCAACGATGTCTGGCAGGCAGTCAACTAACTGGTTCGTTGGCGGAACATGGCAGACATCGCCAAAACAAATAGTGCCTGCTGGAGAGAACACACACTGGCCACGCTGCGGCAGAGCCCGTCCATTCAAGAGCTGCGAGAGACTGGCGTAGATGCGGTCTGACTTCAGCTGTATATGCGCTGGTTGGCAAGACCCGAAGTCGGCGAAATTAACCTCCACAACTAAACTAGCCTGGAGGAAAACGGTGCGTCTCAGACCGATGTCGATAAACCACATGCTTATTACCTCCTTTCTCAACCCAGTCAGTCCCCGCGTTTTCTTTGACCGCGGTCATGCATCACAGCACCGTAACCGTGAGTGTACTCGTCTCTGCCAGACAACAGATGCGGCGGCATGATCACTCGACCAAGGGCTCAAGGCCCCATGCAAGGACCTCCTTTTTTAAATGGAATTCACAGTTCCCCAATACAGCGGGTACTGATGAACGTTCGCGTTAACCCGTGATGTCACGGTGAAGGTATCATGTGCCCATCACCCTAGAGTCTGCACTGGTCCATCTACTGAGTATCAAGTAACGCTCATGAAGGCGTGGCGCAATCGCATGACGTGATAGCCTAAAAACAAATTCTCTCGTGATGGTTAACGTTAACAGTCCTTGTTATACATAGATCAGGTGAACTGCCTCGTGTTCATTGCGTGTTCCATGCAGGGTCTGAGGCGCCCAAGCCTTATCCTTATCCTAGTCTACTACCCCCTCTGCCCGACGAGTCGAACGGTCTGAGGCCCTACGGGAGACTACATCCTAAGCATCTTATCCAGTATTCCCCCCAGACAACCCTCTCGATTTATCAATGGCGCTATATCTGCTTCTAGGCGCCATTGCTGCCTATGCAATATATCAGACGTTATTTGCGGCTTCGAGTCCTGAAGATGACCGTCCGCCAAGTAGTAGTCACGGGCACCGTCATTCCCAGTCCGAGTTTTCCGGCGCTCCAGTGGCTCCACCCCCCCGCCAAGTTCGACAATGGTATGACGATTCACAGCAGACACGGGTCCGAATCGTCGACTCCATCCAGCAAGGCCGCGCTCCTGTTCCTGTGGAAGAAGACGACTACACTTCCCTCCGTGCAAGAGCCAAAAAACAGGGTGACTTGATGTCCCAGTGTTACCAACAAAGTCAAGAGGCCTATGAACGGCGTGACCGCGCCCGCGCCAAACAGCTCTCAGAGCAGGGCAAAGGCCATGCAGGCGCGATGGAGAGGCTAAACGCCAAAGCGAGTGCGATCGTATTCAGAGGTGAATCCACTTTACACGTCAAAAGGTACCACTCAAGAATCGTTGTCCCAGAAAATAACTCAGTAGGTATCTACGAAAATGATTACCATCTGTGTTCAATGTTATCACCGAACAGGACAAAGACCCAGACGAAGTTGACCTTCATGGTCTCTTTGTGAAAGAAGCCATCTCTTACACGGAGAATGCTATCCGAGATGCTCGACGGCGCGGAGACTCGGAAATCCGTTTAATCGTTGGTATGTGCCCATCGTTCCGCAGTCTTCGGGGTCATCATCTCTCTCAGGACAAGGTACACATTCCACTGGAGGGGTTCCCCGACTGAAGCCTGCCATAGAAGATGACCTCAGAAAGTGAGTCCACCTACCTGCTGCGGTCAATGAATAAATCATGATTTCTGCTAGGCGTGGGCTTCGAGTCGAGGTAGATCCAAGGAACGCGGGCGTGTTGATTGTTCAGCTCGGCCGCGCTCAGGTTGTGACGAGACTGTACTAACCATCCAACCGTTGCTTCTGAAGATGTGCATCTTGCACCTACAATACTCAATAGTGTCAGAGTGGCTTTGCAACCTACCACATAGCAGTGGACTTGGATATATCATAACACTTGGAAGAATTTGCAATTGCTGATACCTCACTTGAAAGGGGCACAGGTGGTGTACAGCTGTAACTTAAGTTGGGTTGTACATTATATTGCCCAGACTACTAGGGATTAGCTAGGAGTAGTAAACAGGTATGAAGTAAACTCACCTTGGCTGTTGCCTAATGAGGGCAAAGAACAACTGAGGAATCTGAAGTAAAAAGTAAGAATACACATATATGTAGCAAAATGGGTGGAGAAGTGCTTGCTAATAGTGACAAGGGGTTAGGAATAGGAACATGAATGGATATGGAAATGAGGTTAAGTGATGTAAGATGATAATGGGAATGCCCCTGGAGGCTCAGGACTCAGGAGTAATGATAAAGAAAGGATAATAGGATAGGGTAACAGTCTGCACAACTCCAGATGGACCCCAAGTGAGTTCTGTAATTCTGAGCAATTTTGGACAGATTCCAAGCAGTTCTGCATAGGGGCAGAGTGGAGTTACAAACTCTAGACTCTGGAGTTCATGTTCCAGTTCCAGTTCCAGTCCCAGAGTTCACTGAACTTTGTCAATTAATAATAACAGGGGATTAGGAACAGGAACATGAATGGATATGGAAATGAGGTTAAGTAATGTAAAATAATAATGGGAATGCCCCTGGAGGCTTGGGAGTAATGATAAGGAAAGGATGATAGGATAGGGTAGCAGTCTGTGCAAGTTCCAGACAGACTCCATGACTCCAAGTGGTTGTGCATAGGGAGCAGAGCAGAGCCATGATTTCTGGGTTTCCAAGTTCCAGAGTTCACTGTATTTTGTCACAGTAAGGAATGATGCATTAGACTGCCAGGGAGTGGTGTGGAGTCACTCAGAATCGTGTAGACCTACAGTTCCTGTCTGGAGTCCACTTGGACTTCTTTGACTATTATCCTATCATCTTTCCTAGTACTACTATCACTGCAGAGTTCTCAGGGGTATTTCCATCCTTGTCTTAGACTGCCTAATTTCTCATTCCACATCCTTTATGTTTCTCAGTTTGTTCCTGATCTCCTTTCATTATTAGCAAGTGCTTCTCTGCACATCACAATACATATATACTTACTTTTCCCTTTGAATTCCTCAATCATTTGTTGCCCTCCCTAGGCAGTGACTGAGGTGAATCTCCTGTACCTATTTATTACTCCTAGCTAATCCCTAGTAGTCTGGGAAATCCCTGCCCCTTTGTCAGTGGAAAGAAAACCACTTCAGAATAACTGAACTCTTGCACAATCCCTCAATGCATGTTAGAACAAACTCCAGACCCCCAGGACTTCTACCATGTTGTCCAATACAGCCTCCACTGACAGTCCCACATGTCTGACTCTTGTCAGACCCCCAAACTTCTGAATCTGGAAACTCCAGATCATGACAAAACTTCAAAGGGAGAGAGTTCTAGGTGTTGCCCTAGGAATGGACACCTGTCCAATCATTCCTGTCACATTTCTTAGTATCTTGGGTACCATGACAAAATATGACAGAAAAGTGAACTAAATAGGATTGAATCTGTGACCTCCAGTGTAGTGCAGTGGCACTCTTCCAACTGAGCTACCAGTCCATTGGGACTATCTCCTAGCTCAAGCATAAGTAGGCATTAGATGGTAGGCACTGTGCTTGCTACCATTTGATATACCACTGCCACTGTGCCTGTTCCTGCCACATCTCTTAGTGTTCTTGGTCCCCTGATAGTTTCTGCTACCTCATCTAAAACTCTGATGACATCCAGCATAACCATGTTGGAAGTGGATGGAGCAGAATGAAAAGGCACATGCAATTATCCAGGACAGCATCAGTAATGCCCTCCTACTCAAGACAGAAGCCCACACTACTGCTTGGGACCATTTCTTTAGCTAGTATGTGTGACTAATTACACCTCCTTCCCTACATGCATAAAGATTCATGGTGAAATGGATGGGATAAGGAATGGCAGCTTGGAGCTGCAGCAATACTAGCTTACACCACTGCCTGGGACCTCTTTGATGCACTCCTATCCACCCACCAAGCCTTCAATTTCACCTCTGCCTTCTACACATTCCAACAGTTATTCAACTCTGCATGGTCCAGAGCTTCCACTGTCTCTGCACACATCCCTTTGAACTCCTAGAGGAACCCCATGCAACCCAAGTGCTCCAGATCATCCACATAGATGTTGGAGGTCTGATAACCCCTCAGTCTTGGGAAGGATAGAAGTACTGGATCATCATTGTGGATGGCTTCTCCTGTTTCCCTTGGATATATTTCATGAAACAAATGAAGGAAGCACTCCAGATCTACAATCACTGGAAGGCTAATGTCCAGACACTCTTCCAAATGGAGGTGGAGTGGGATCAATTCTCTGAAACTTATGTGGACTTTATCTGAAGCAATGGAGGAGGGGAATACATAAACAAGGCTTCCCAGGAACAACTCCAAAAAGACAGGATCCTACATGAGCCCTCTGCTCCCTACACTCCAGAGCAAAATGGATTAGTGGAGCAGATGAACCAGATATTATGTCTACTTGCAAATGCCATGCTGTAGGAGTCCCAACTCCCTAAATCCTTTTTGGTAGATGTCATGGCCACTGCTGCCTACATCACTGCACAAAGTCCAACATCTGGACTCCAAGGGGAGAACCCCTACCAGACTCTCTTCCATTGATGGGCCAACCCCACTATCTTCCACCCATTTGGGTGTCCTGCATATGCCCATGTACCCAAGGAACAGCATGGGGGAAAGTTCTACTCTCACAGATGGAGGTGCACCACAATTGGATATACCTATGGACAACAAGCCTACAAACCCTTGACAAAGTACAGTGAATTCCAGAACTGGAACACCAACTCCAGAATCTCAGAAACCTGGAGATTGTAACTCTGCTCCACTGCCAAGCAGAACTGCTTGGAGTCTCAGTGTTGCTTGGACTCTGTCCAGAGTTACTCAGAATCTGTCTGGAACTTGCATGGAATGTTATCCCACTTCATCATCCTCTTCTTATCATTATGCCTGAGCCTGCAGGGGCACTCCATCATTATCTTACATCACTTAACCCCATCTCCTTTCATGTTCCTGTTCCTACTCCCCTGTTATCATTAATGAGTGCTTCTCTGCCTACTCCACTATATATATATACTTATTTCTCACTTTGGATTTCTCAGTTGTTCTTTGTCCCTCTTAGGCAGCAGCTGAGGTGAGTTCATTCCATACCTATTCACTACCCATAGCTAATCCTTAGTAGTCTGGGCAATCACTGTCCTCTTATAGTTTTTGTTAACCCTCAGATATTGAATGTCAAACAGTTATCTCCAGCCACCATGTCACCTTTGATGAGGCCAGAGCCATTCTGGCACATGACCTTGCCCCATGGAATGTTCCCACTGTTGAGGGACAGTGGGAGGGACTACTTCTGAGGCAACACAAACCAGAGCATCAGAACTCCAAAGAGGAAGATTCCAAATTCCAGACTCTGGATTCATACAGAATAGTGGCAGTTGACAATGTACCTTTGGAAAACCTTCTGGATGCTCTGGAGGCACAGCAACCACTGAGTCCTACCATTGATGACCTCACAAACTGCTTCAAGAAACTCCACATGGTCCCCTGCTCTTGCTCCTGTTCTGACTCCCATCCCACCCTGACCTCAATCTCCAGAAAGACCTGCTCCAGCCCAAAATGTAGCTGGAGTCCACAGAAGCAACCAGCAACACAAACAAACTGGTTGGGATTGGGATTACTAATGGGCTGTGGATGAGAAGGCTGCACAAAAGGCTCAATGCTGTGATGCACAGGAACTGGAACCCAATGCAAAAACTCTGGACATGCTGGAAGAAGTTCCAGAAGTCCCAGAGCCTTTTTGGCATCCACAGAAATCATTGAGGACTTCATCTTTGCAGGTGCAGCAAACTCCAAGTCCAATCCATCACTTCCAGGAACAATCCAGGAAGCTTATGGAGGGCCAGATGTGGAACACCAGAAGTCCACAGTGAAGGAGGAACTTCTAGACCTCAACTCCAATCATGTATATGAAACTGTCCTTATTCTGGAAGGGGTTACCCCTATAACCTCCAAGCCCCTCTGGCAAACCTGGACACCATCTGGACCCTTGTCACCCTCACTGCAAAACATGACCTGGAACTCTGTCAAATGGTAGCAAGCATGGTGCTTACTGTCTAATACCTACTAATGCTTGAGCTAGGATCTAGTCCCAATGGACTGGTAGCTCAGTTGGAAGAGTGCCACTGTACTATACTGGAGGCCACAGGTTCAATTCCTGTCTAGTCCACTTTTCTGGCAAATTTTGTCAGAGCTCAACCAAATGGAGGTCTCCACTGCTTATCTGAATAGGGAATTTGAGGAGGTCCCTTATCTACTTCCCCCTGATAGAGTCCCTATCCAAGTTGGGTATGGTATTGTTGGAAACTCTGATGTTCCCTGTGCAGACTAAAGCAACCCAAACAGACTTGGAACAAAACCATGGACAAGAAGCTCAGAGAACTCAAGTTTGCTCACCTTGATGTGGAGACATGCCTCTATGTCTTCCAGAAGGATGGTCAAGTTTGTTTCCTGGTTGTCTATGTGGATGACCTACTCCTAGCAGCCCCTCCAGATAGTTCATGAACCCCATCAAGGCCAAATTCTCAGTAGCTTTCAAGATGTGCAATCTTGGAGAAGCCAAATACATCTTTGGGATTGAAATCAATCAGGACCAGAAACTCAGGACCATTCTCCTGGAATATCCTAGATCACATTGGAATGTCCACATGCAAGCCCATCTGGACTCTGATGGCACACAATTCCCAACCCTCTGCCATGGACTTCAAAAATGATCAGATCCTCAATGTACACATTCAGACATGGCATATGCAGTTGGAACCCTCAGCCAGTTTAGCACTGCACTGAAGCAGATGCACTGGGAAGCAGCAAAATGTGCATTCCAATACATCCAGGCCACCAAGGACATGGAACTCTGGTCTGATGGCTCTGAGCTTTCCATGGACATGGACTTCCAAAGATACTCCAATGGGGGTTGGTCTCAGGACCCAGATAACTCCCACCCCACCTCCAGATCCCTTTTCCTTAGCAATCAGGGGGCCATTTCCTGGTCTGTATCCTCAAGAGCTCACCAGAATGCAATGAAAACTAGATAGCCAGACCCTGACAAGGTCAAGGAATCAATTCTGCAATGACAGAGGGATCAAAAATGAATTCTTGAAACATGATAACCACAAAATCCCAAGGGCTGAAATGCCAATTGCAGAACAACTTGTTCTTTGCTAACACATATATAACAATGCCTGTAACAGTACATTATAGTTTAATAATCCCATCCATATTTAGTGGTGTTGTCACAGTGTCACATGTTGTACTATTCTCATCATAAAATGGCATATGTATCATTCAAATGTTATATTTGCTCATATTTCTTGTGTGACTAACTCACAACTTCATGTCTTGCTATTTCATACTGCTTGTAACGTAATCATTACAATGTGAACATGGTACCAGCATAGATTACTAGGAAACCTAGTTTTTCAATTGATTTTGCAAGGCCATCACTCAGCCATCACTCTGTATTGCAATGGAAAAATAAATTTCCGACATATGAAGGCCACAAGGGCAACCTTCTTTCTAGATCGGTGGCCTCTCTCGTTGTAGCCAGCCACAGGTATCCAAAATGGTTGTCAGTAACATAGGGTAACAGGTTCACCAGAAACAAGAAGTTGCGACCCAGAATTCAAGTCAAGACATCGCAATGTGGCGGTGGGTTATCCCAAGAATGATTATGATCGTCTATTTTCAATTGTACAAGACGTGGCGACGGATAGGGGACTTAGTCCACTCGGATCGCACTATACAATCTGCGCACAGCCCAGTAAGATGCGAGGAAACCGATCGTTCCTGAGATGGAGGTTCAGTTTCACAGAACATCCTAATGGGTCGAATGGAAGGCATACCAGTGACAAGGAAATCAAATAGGCAGAGGAGGAGTAGGTATCCAAGATACAGAGCAACACTGGAAAACGAGTCGAGTGAAAGACGAGAGGCCCAGTAGAAGAGACCATAGGCGAGAATCCAGAACGCACTTCCCCCTCCAGTCAGGAACGCACGCCAGTGCCACCTACGGTAGATCCCCATCAAAATTGACATCCATGGTCACAAATGAGCCATAAGACGCACCGATATTCTTCTGCGCACAGAACGAAGTACGTGAAGAGGATCGTAACCATCCCCGTCGTCAGCGCAACTACGCCTGCTGTGAGCATCAGGAAGCCAAAAGCGTAATATGCACGTGAAGCGAAGAGGCTCGACATGATAAAGTAAAGTTCGACGAATGCCGCCCCTAATAAATCTGTCAGCGACAGATTAAATATCAGCATGTGAACGATCCTCACCAAAAGGCAAGATGCCAGCAAGTAAAGCGGATGCCTATCTTGACATTAACTATGGTCAGGCCGCAAATAGTATGCAACATACCCAAGGCTGGAGGTACCGTGGCTTGGGCGGGATCTGCCTAGGAATCTGATTCACTCTGACCGGATGCGAGACACTCTGTGCTCCTCGTTAGAGACAAAGCATACG